TATAGTTATACATGTACAAAATAACTAACAATTGTAATGATTTCTTTAACTGTTCTAGAACGTTCTAGTTGAAATAAAAATCTGCGATTTTTCTATATTCGTACTTTCGACGAAGCAAAGTAAGTTCTATATAGATCTGGACATATATGCATAAAACAATATCCAATCGTAGTATAAATTTATTGTAGAACATGTAGAAAAATCCGTCCGTTCGGGTCGAATCTTTAAGTTAACTTAAGTACCATATGCATATACGGACCCTGGATTTAAATCAGATCTGTTCTGGCGGGTTTTGTCTTTTTTTCAAAATACATATTTTTAATTGTGACTATCTTTAGTTCCGAATCTTTCTATCTTTCTAAACCAACGATCGGCAAGTGCGTTCAGTTTTGTGAATTAATATTTAAATGTTTTGAAATATCCATTATTATTGACAAGAAGTACAAACTTACATTTTTCAAATTTTACCGATGGAAAATATCTCAATAAATTGTTAATTCCTCAAATCTTTGGTTGGAATTAGATATCATTCATTGAACGAGAACTGTATTTCATAAACAACTGGTAGTAAAATTGACTACACGTATGAGTTTAGTAATATATAGTACACATGATGTATATTATAACAGATGATTTTTTAAAATAAAGTTCCAAATTACCGTCCGCGCGTAAACTGCTCAGCAGGCGGTGCGGTGCGTAAACCTGCATTACGTGTAATAAGAGTTTTTAAGCCCGACAGGAAATCGCTTGAATACCTGGAAGTGTCACCTCACAGTACCTCTGGCAATAATTTCTTTAGCCATGCTGATGGTCAAGTTAAGGAATTAAATAAAGGTATTATATAAATACTGTGACATAAAAAGATTTTATAAATGTATATTAGTCCCAGATAAAAAAAATATTGGAAACAATTTTACACGGAACACCGCTAGTTAATTAGGGTTTCTAACTATATATGAGAGAATCCATAAAAGAAATTGCTCTCAATTAATTCCCCTATATTTACTTGAAAACTTGAAATATGCATTATAAAGAAATAAACTTGATCGCATAAACATAACCTTTATTATACTAATTATGGAATATGCATAGTTATACATATGCCAGTAATTAAGCTACATATTTCGTTAAGGTGTCAGACCACCAATTACTCCCTCCAATTTAGAACGTATGTAAAAGTAGCCCTACTTTGACACAAAATAGTGCTTTTGATGTCATTGTTTACTTAAACTAACCAACAAATTTGCAGAAATGAAACTTTTGGTGAAAGGGAAATATATTTAGACTGGGACTATTATACTAACGGGATTGGAAACCATTACACCAATCAGTGTAATAATACTCACATCACTGTCGTTAGAACGAGACTTTACGTTAGTATAATAGTCCCAGATTTAGACCATTTTGAGCCAAAATTCACTTGTCTATGAGTTTGCATTAAAAATTCAGGATTAATGCGCTACATAGTATACTAATTTAAGATTTCCAGAAAACCGGGAGTTATTTTGGTAGTACCTGTGTTTTCAAGATCAGAATTTTCTTATAAGACTTTAAACATGGGTTGAAAATTGGCATGTAGAAAGGTGATACATGTACAATTCAGAATATACCTGGTTTCTTTGAAGTTATACTTAAGGTAAACTATTTAGAAAGCTGTGAAAATTGAAAAATTTGGTTGAACAGATGGGATTTTTAATTGGTGGTCTGACACCTCGAAATAGGCCGGAAATTGCTAGTAGACAGATGAAAGTCAAGAAAGCTCATTGTGTTATATTCTTAACATAAAAAGACTGCCCTTGATTATCTCTGCGATTTAATGCTCCAAATTATGATTTACAAATTAGTAACAACTATGTAGTTTCCCGCGTCATAGACTAGATATAACCAAAACATTTTTTTTCCCATCTACTTCTATTGAATGGAATTTTAAACCCCGACATATTGACTTTCTGAAATCTAAAAACATCCACCCTTCTTCTTTAGTTGTGGTGTTAGAAAACTTAATGGTTCAGAAGTATGCGAAGCTCCTTAAATGCAGATCTGTGTTAATATTAAACTAAATCCCGCATGCAGCTGTAGCCATGCTGTTGAGGATTGTATTTACAATTTTTTTCGAGTGCCCATTTCACAATGAAGCAAGAGAAATATTGTTTTTGATTTTAAAAAGATATGTTATACCAATTGAGCTGTTCACGGTGACCTTTATACATTTCAGCAAAGTAAAGCAACTTTTGAATCTGTGCAATCTTATATCAGAATTACACAAAGATTCAGAACTTCGCATACAATTAAAATTCTGACTTCCTACTTTTCACGCCAGTTCATATTACAAAAATATTATATTGCGTTTTCGATTTTGTTTATAGTTTGTATTACATCTATTTCTATTTTGTTTTTCGTTATTATCTTATGTATTTTGTGTTCAATCCCATATGCTACTTTTGAAAATAAAATGTGTTTAAAAAAAAACACAAAACAAAAACGAAGATAAGTCACACAAAAAAAACCTCAAAGTAACAAACTTGTACATATGGTACATGTACATGTATATGTCACAGAAATCACTAATCCATGTCAATGTTAAGTTTTTAAAACAATACAATGGAGACTAATAATATGACTTCAATTTACTTTTATTCTGTTCTTGTAATTCATCTACATAAACTGCCTATACAAAATATAATACGAAAGGAATCAAAATATTGAAATAAAGACGTCCGTAGAAATACCACAAATGACCACCTCAATAATACGCACTAGGGACTTGATGTGATGATACAGTTGCCACAAAGGACATGAAATATAAAAGTAGGCTATGATATTTTAAATTTAGAAATTTAGAAAATAAAAAAATAATTCCAAATTATATAATCCTATCTTTAGTAATTACCATGTAAATGTTTTAACGACACGTGCCACACTCTATTGATCGTCATTTGTGTGTAATCGATCGAAATGCATGTTCATTCAACCAGAACCTGTTAATTACGCACGTGTATACAGATTGTAAATGAATATATTATCTCAGCATGTTATCATGGTTATAGTGTTTTTGTTTTATGGGTCTTGTATTTTGCAAAAAAAAATATTTTAAAATGGGGTTTTTCTAAGCACCGGAAAAAAGTTGTTAAACATTTATTATCTATTTTCCGATAAGTTCAATAATAGAAATATGTATTCACAACACACACGCACAACTTATTTAAAAACTTACTTGCCATTGCTTCATATTTAATTGGATAATCAGAGTTTTTATGGAAGTTGCATGTTGAGAGCAGCTTTAGATATGAAACCATATTGACATTTTGTAGAAAACCTGCATAATGCAATAATTTAACATAAATCCTGCATTTTCAACAAATTTTTATTTTTCTAGGAGAAAAACAATCAAACGGAAAACATGTTCCATACATAAAATATCTGTTTCAATGAGAAGAAAAATTGTTCCCATAGGTAGACAAATTTTCCCATGGGAAGAAAAAATTTTCCCATGGGAAGAAAAATTGTTCCCATGGGAAGATAAACTGTTCCCATCGGAAAAGTTAAAATCCCATGGGAACTCTCTGTATTCATCTTTTCCCATGGGAACTGTAAATTTCCGATGGGAACTTTAAAATTCCCATGGGAAAAGTACTTTTTCCGATGGGAACTTTAACTTTTCCCATGGGAACTTCGAATATTCCCATGGGAATTTTTAAATTTCCCATGGGAAATGTACTTTTAATCAGCTGTGATGACAACAGTGACAACGGTGACATGTTGGGACATATGGGAAATTTAATTTTTTTGATTATCTAACACTTGGGCAAAAAATATTTTTGATATCTTGTAAACCGACAAAGTCAGATTTGCCAATTCTGGAATTGCAAATTTGTCCCGCACAGTGTTTTAAACTAACCAACAAATTTGCAGAAATGAAACTTTTGGTGAAAGAGAAATATATTCAGACCATTTTGAGACAAAATTTACTTGTCCAAGAGTTTGCTTTAAAAATTAAGGATTAATTCGCTTCATAGTACTTATTTAAGATTTCCAGAAAACCAGGGGTTATTTTTAGTACTGTAGTAGTTGCGTTCCAAACGGTGGTGTGTCACTACCAGACTTTAAACATTGGTTGAAAATTGGAATGTAGAAAGGTGATACATGTACATTTCAGGATATACACGTACCTGGTTTCTATGAAACTTGAGGTAAAATATTTAGAAAGCTGTGAAAATTGACAAAATTGGTTGCTTAGATAGGGGATTTTTAATTAGTGGTCTGACACCTTGTGTATTTATACAGCCCTAGCACATCCAAACCGACGTGGTTATGTGTTATATATCCAGCATATCAAACCCGACGTGGCTGTGTATTCAAACATCCTGCACATCTAAGTCCGACGTTGTTGTGTATTTATATATCCAGCATCAAACCCGACGTGATTGTGTATTTATACATCCAGCACATCAAAATCTGGTGTGGTTGTGTATTCTCGACTTCCGAGCGGACGTGGTTGTTTATCTATACATCCCACATTCAAAAGGACGTCCTTCGGTAAGGGTATTTGAAAGGGCTGTCATTCTATCGCAGATGTATTTAATTTTGATTTAACGTCCTCGGTCGGGCAAGTAGTTATCAAAGGTACCAGGATTATAATTTAATACGCCAGACGCGCGTTTCGTCTACATAAGACTCATCAGTGACGCTCAGATCAAAATAGTTATGAAACCAAACAAGTACAAAGTTGAAGAGCATTGAGGACCCAAAATTCCAAAAAATTATGCCAAATACGGCTAAGGTAATTTGCACCACAAATATCTAGAAAAAATGTATAAACAAAGAAAAAATAAATATATTTTTTACTTGTGTTTTTTTTCTTAAACGCAAATAAGACTCTTCGTTTTAAAACGAACCTTGACAGTTGTAGTACTTTCGTTTAAAGTAACTATGAAAGTCACGAAACCACAATTGATAACAGAGATTTGACCTTACAGGTTATTTTTATAATTTTATTCCAGATATTTTGAATCTGGAGTGAGGGATAAATTATTTTCTAATCAACAAGGGAAAAGTTTAGATTTACCTGCTATGAACATTCAGCGAGGACGAGACCATGGACTTCCTGGATACAACGCTTTCCGAAGATGGTGCAATCTTGCTGTTGGCTACAGTTTTGGGAGAAGAAATATATGGTCACTCTCCGACCATTCTTATTCAAACACACGACTTTTAAGGAAAATATACAGGTATAAATGGTTTCTTTCAAGGTGTTGGGATAAATTCACTCCTAAAAAAGACGTATTATGTATTTTTCTGAAAGAAACAAAATTCAATATCAACTGTTATGAAAGGCGAAAGATACTGTAGGGATATCCAAACTCATAAGCCGAAAAAAAATGACAATGACATGCCAAAAAAACGAAAAACGATCAATAGACAAACAACAGTATATTAAAACACAACATAGAAAACTAAAGCCTGAGCCACACGGACCCTACCAAAAACCGTGTTAATATTTGAAATATGATTGTTGCAATATGAATGTTAGCAGGCTCTGCTTTTAAGGTATACGTGTATTCTCATTCGATCATCCTTTGGCACACTGCCGTAATTTTTTCAGACTTTATTTTTTTTTTTTTTTTTTTTTTTTTTTGTAAAAATGTAAACATAATATCTTTATATCAATTTTAATTTAAAGACATCCCGATGATATTGACCTTTATGTTGGCGGTATATCTGAAAATCACGTGCCAGATGGAGCTGTTGGGCCAACTTTTGCGTGCATCATTGGTCAGCAATTTAGAGATATTAAATTTGGAGACCGGTTTTGGTATGAAAATAACTTTACAATAACAGGGTTTACTTTGGGTAAGTAAATTTGAAGATCAGGCTAGTTTGTTGATTACGAAATTCAACTCATGTTTTGACTGTTTATTTTCCATGAAAACCCTTAGATATTGATACTGTATAAACAAAATAGGGGGCCTTTTATACCTGACTATGCGGTATGGGTTTTACTCATTGTTCAAGGCCGTACGGTGACCTACAGTTGTTAATTTCTGTGTCATTTGGTCTCTTGTGGAGAGTTGTCTAATTGGCAATCATACCACATCTTCTTACTTTTATATTAAACAATTAAGTCCAATTCAATAGTCCACTTGAATTTTGTATTGCTTACTTACGTTTTGTGTATTTCTCCTATCGCATTAAATATAGCCAATCAAATATTCATATTGATACCATAATTACATTTGTGGTAAAGGAAGGAAAAAAAGAAACTCCACCAAAATACGCTTCTACCAAGAAATTCAAATAATATTTGAATCTATGGTCTTTCAAGAAGAATGTTGGGCACAGCAATTTCAATATTTATATAAATTATTCATGCTATTGCCACTTTATCATGCTTAGTTCGAACGTGCATTAATTCGATGAAAATATCTTTGCGGACTAATGATGACAGATATGTCCAATTATAGTTTTCACTCGTGTTTAATTTACACATTTGAATATCCAGCACCATTTTGTCATATATTTCTTGTACAAAGCATCATTTGCAATGTATTAAACATTTCAGCACGACACTTAAAGATACCGGTACTTAAAGATACCATAGGCATTGTATATATGTATCTGAAGATACCGGTAATACCGATTCAAGTTCAAGTGTTTATTTCCGATTCACCCTTCATTGGGAGCACTGAAAGCCGAACTTTTGGACACCCAAATAGAAATAAATACCTGTGGTGGTACATAACAAAAAGAGGCTTGAAGCCGAAATGTAGGCATATGTATCTAAAATCAACTTTGCCTAAGGGAGTTGAAATACTTTTTGTGCAAAAAAAAACATTATGTTGCCATTGTCATACATATCCTGTGTCCATGCTCCTTTCACACGGATCTGAAAACACTCCAATTCTACTTTCCGTGTTAAAGGTAGCAATCCACAGTTAGAAAATAAAATTAAAATTGAAACATAAAATGTTAAATCTTCTATTCCTGGCATTCTGAAACATTAAACTTACTGTTTGTGTCATACATGTGCATATGTACGTAATCAGTATCTTTCATAGATTGTAACTCCTTTCTTGTATATGTACATGGCAACATTCTGCAATTATTTACATTCCCCGAAAGGAGTAGGTCCAGTAAGACCCCTTTTTGGCCCCAAAATATAGCAGTTTTACAAAATTGTTAAAATGCAAACTTTTAGCTAAAAAGAATACTTCTGTTACATAAATATGGGCTGTTTTTGACAATACAATGCACATGTATCGGGTACTAGCATCATTAAGTCATGCTAAATTACTGAAATCTTCACAATTTTAGCATTTGAGTTAATTTTTAGACGGTTTTCGTCTTAAATGGAAGTGGCCGCATTCGTGTTCATTCTTAATATTTAAATGTAAGTTGTATTTGATGATAATACATATCATATATAAAGATCGAGGATGAACACGAATGCGGCCACTTTCATTTTTGACAAAAACCATCTGAAAAGTGACATATTATGGCATAATTGATAGATTTTTAATATTTAAGCCTGAATTTGAGCGTCTTTAGTGACTAAATCGGCCGAAATCTTTCAGTTTAACTAATTGAATCTACTAAAGTAGACACTTGAGTGTTTAAAAAGTGTCCAAAATATTTCATCAGATGAACCTGAAATTTGAGGCCAAAATCGGCCCTTACAAGACCTACTCCTTTGGTTAAAACTAGAATTTCCATCCCTTTGAGTGATACATTTTCTGAACCTTTACACATTAATCTATCAAATGATCAATCAAAAATTGGGTGTCTTTCGACTCATTTTTTCATTAAATTGAATCACGACGTTCGTGCGACAAATAGGTGGAAAAAAATTACTGGACCAATGTCAGTTATGGATATGAAAATACGGACTATCAAACAGAAACAGCCTATTATACATAAAAAGTCATTTCACAATCTTGATGTTCGTATAAACCCACTTTGAAGGCTTTATAATTCTTCTGCTATCAAAAAATGAATTTTATTTCACACAAGCTTTCATATTTGAAAAATTCGGCGCCAAAATGCGAAACTACATAACTGTGGAGTGCCACCAAAGACTTTTCCGGGTTCTCTGGTTTTGTCGTAATGATACACACCTTCAAAAATGTGTAAGCCGCAATGGCATTGGCTAACGTAATAAGTACCAAAACAGAAAGTAGACTGGAGTGTTGTCATGTCCTTGTAAGCGAAGCGTGGACACGTGGTCCAATATCAATCAGATTGAATTTAGGATTCTGACTTTCTATTAGCAATAGATGTAACTTAATTTGTTTTATTAATGTAGACCAAGTGAACGAGATAAAAAAGGTGAAATTATCTCAGATTATCTGCGAAGGAAGTGATGTGAATAGTGTCCAGGAAAACGCACTTAAAGCACCGTCATTCGAGTAAGTAATTTGAAGTAGAAGTACTTCCTTAGAATACAACAGATCTTCAAAATTGTTTATGAGGAGAAAAACTAGTGTGCGTCGAACATCCGTTACTAAATTATCAGGGGGAAATCTTGAACATCTGTATAAACATTTTAAAGATTAATTTTATACAATATGTATATATATTGATATTTCCTGTTTAGTATTTCCTCTATTCTATCTCAACAGCTACAGTGGTATCATCTTCGTTGTCGTGGTTCAAATACAAAGCTGCGTCGAGCCAAAGTCTTTAAAATTGGGTTTTGCTGCTTATCTGCGAAGCACGCGGCATTGATAGTTAAGACTGTTTGATTCGTAGTCAGCATAACGTGTACCCGTAAGGTGATCTTTTTTTACTGCTACCTTATAAACTAGCACGTAACAAATTCGACTCCACGTGTCTTTCAATTACACACAGCAATATCTTTTTGTCATATAACTTTGAGTGAACTTGTCAAAAGTGAACAGTTGTTGATAGCTATAATCTAGGAAGGATAGGCAGAATCTGCTCCACTAGAAAATAGTCGATCAGTGGTCAGCGACTCATTTCACAACAAATCTTACGAATCGCGAACATTTCAGTATAACATGCGATCAATTTTAGCCAGAAGATTTTTCGTGACAAGAGCACCAGAACAATAAAATCAGTACACATTCCAGTTAATATCTCTTTGGTCTGACGGGCGTATATGAAATCGTTACCTCATTACTAAAAATAGTGATTTTAACAGGAATCCTCGGCGAGAATGCAGTGGTTTTCCCGACATCGACTTGAACAAATGGAAAGTACCTGTTAGTGGAGACACCTTCACTCTATTTGGAAAGACATATCAAAAGAATGGTGGCACATATGTGAACCTTGGGGATATGAAAAACTTTCTGATTCCGAAAAACATTTTGGGATTAGATAATGAATAAGAACGGTTTATTTTGTTTTTGTTTTATATATTCTATGATATTGAAGAATATTTTCTCGTAGTTTTAGAATATTTAAATTTTCTTAACACGATTGTAAACATTATAAGACAAACGGTATGGTAAGCCGTTTTTTCTTCATTGGAATTCAATAATTTTAAAAATCAGATGATATTCCACATTAAAAGGGGATGATATATTTAGATTTGTCATTCGTAGAAGAAAAAACTGCAAAATCCCGCCAGATTGCGTAATTTTTTTTATCTTAGTCCATGATTAATTTGATATTAGCAACCACAATATATAATTTAAACATCTTGATATAAAATATTCTGATTTGATAAGACTGTTGCTCTATCTCTGAAATGTCGGTTATGAATATGTGTATATAAAAATAAGAAGATGTGGTATGATTGCCAATGAGACAACTCTCCACACTATAGGTCACCGTGCGGCCTTCAACAATTAGTAAAACCCATACCGCATAGTCAGCTATAAAAGGCCCCGAAATGACAAATGTAAACAACTCAAACGAGAAAACTAACTCTGTAAAAAATAATGAACGAAAAACAAATACGATATACAGCAACAAACCACTGAATTACAGGCTCCAGACTTGGGACAGGCACATACAGAATGTGGCGGGGTTTATCTGACTAGTTTGTTGGCGCCAAACTCTGCCCCTAACCTGGGACAGTGGTGTAATGGTACAACATAAGAACAAACTACGCAAAACAACAAATGAAAAACGAACATGAGAAACAGCAAAAAACGACAACCACTCAATTACAGGCTCCTTACTTGGGACAGGCACATATAGAATGTGGCAGGGTTAAACTAGTTTGAAGGCGCCAACCCTCCCCTAACCTAGGACAGTGGTGTAAGAGTACAACATAAGAACAAACTATAAAAATCAGTTGAAATAGGCTTAAATCATCAGAGGGATACAAAGGAGAAATACATCTAACAAAACAACGAGTGGAAGTGGCAGGGTACTTATACATCCCCACAACAAAAAGACTCTAAGTACAGATCTGAGAGTACTCGCAGTTACTGACAGCTAGTTCAAAGCCAATAACAACTAATAAAACAATCCAACATCCAATGGATTTAGTGTAAAGACGTTATTAACAGTCAGAGAATAACATGACCTTGTGCAATGCCAAGATACAGATATCGACAGATTGTAGAGCCATGAATGTGCATACGTATATAAAAATAATATTTAGTTTGATTTTAATTTACTGATAAGAAAAATCAATATTAATACCAATAAAAACTATATTCAAAGATCTAATTATAGTGTTGAATGGGTAACTTTTTAGAATAAGTTTATTTAAAGGATCGATAAGTATCTAAATTTCCGGGCTCGGTAAACAACATCTCCGAAAAAATTTGGATGTGCTATCCCGTTATAAATAAGTTTTCTACAGGTACAACATGACCATTTCACAAATCAAAGGGAAGTTTTATCCCATTAAAATGGAGTGAGATTATATCAATACTATACACACTTTAGGAAGAGAAAATTCATTGTATATCCTTGCGTTGGGTCTCTATTTTATCATTAGTATACGTATGGTATATCATCGTTGTGTATATATATAAGGTTTGTTAAATATGTATTCATATACTTTTCCTAATATTTATACTGTCCATGTTAGCTTCAAATAACATAGCCCACGTTTGTTTTTATTATTTTTTTTTTATCATTAAAAAGGTGACTTTTTTCATGATTAAGAACTTTCAATACAAAATCACCCTTCAAATAAAATAACCCACGTTTCCATTTATTGGGTTTTTTTTTTAATTATACAGTCATTTTTTTCAAAATTAAGAATTATTTTCCATACAAAAACACCCTTACATATAAAAAATAAGAAGATGTGGTACGATTGTCATTTAGACAACTATCTAGACCAAATGACATAGATGTAATCAACTAGGTCACAGTACGATCTTCAACAATGAGCAAAACCCATACCGCATCCCATGAAAGTTTTACAGACTGCTTTATATCTACGTATAAGTCTCGTGAATTAACATCTAAATATTTCGCCTATACAAAGATTGTGACAAAAAATTGGCGTTGATTTTTTTTAAATCGACAAAAAGGGACTAGGGTTTACATGATTTTTTTTTAAATCGACAAAAAGGGACTAGGGTTTACATGATTTTTTTTACAACAATACATGTACAATCTGTCAGATTTCATACAACTACAAGTAATAAATATGTCTACTGGACAATAAAAAATATCTGACAAATATATATAACTTTTGTCTTAATTTGACCATTGTGATTCCAAATACACAACTTAATGACAGTCTATCATATTTTCAATATTTAAGATTAAATGGTGTCAAACTATAGCATTTATATAATTAAGAAATTTTTTTATTTAACATCCGAATATCACAAAAAATACAGAGATCGCCATCACAGTACACAAAAGAACAAACAATTATTTGTCGACGATACACAAAAAATATAGTCAAGAGTCAGCACAAAAGTTGGAAAACCTCAAGTTCTCCTTAAGTATTAAGGTCAAGTTACCGTAAATGGGCTACGTCACGGATGTTTTGAAAAAATTTGCATACAACTTTGGCTCGTTGAACTATAACTGAAAATCGAAAAAATAATGCATTTATCTCTTTTAATATCTGAAATATTATTGATTAAATTCTTTCAAAATAGGAAAACATTTGTATAGAAAGCACATAAAATCGGCGAAAAAACTTCTTAAATTTGTCTTAAAATCACCAAATCTCTAATCTCTATAATACATAGATTTTCTTGAAAAAAACTATATGTTGTTGATACATAAATATCCGTTTTAATGATGTAAAATAATGATAGGGTCACCTATTTTGAAAGAATTCAATCAGTAAAATTTCAGATAATAAAGAGATAAATGCATTATTTGTTTTCGATTTTCAGTAAGAGATTGTAAGCAAAACTTTAGTAAAATCTGTTTTAACTGTTTATTCAAAATACACTCAGACGCCGACGCAGATTTCCTGCGTAACAGGAACGACAAGTTTACACATAGAAGCGAAATGAGTGGAATACATATATCAAACGGTATAAATATTTTTTGTGCAAAACTAAATGTATTGACCAAATAGAAAAAAGTCCTTGCAATCTGTAAAGTTTAAATAACCACGTGATCACATGAACACAGTCAAATGATAATGGATAGTAACAAAAGTGTAAAATATATACATAGTGTTGATTTAGAGAGAACGCAGCAGTTTCTTTACTTTTTTGGATAAAAACAGTAAGGTTAGTTAATACATGTAAGTTGCAATATTTCAACATTCCATAAAGTTTGTTGATATTTTGGTTAATCCTATAGTAATTATGAATATATACATTTCTTAATTCAATAAAATCAGCATTACTAAGCACTATATAATGATACTCATCTCCAAGACCAGTCTTACAAAGCTTACATGTTCTTTCATTTTCTGGAATTCCATCTCCACGTTTCGATCGGAAATTACCGCCTCGGTGGTCTCGTAATAGCGTATTCGCCTCGAGAGCGGGAGGTTGTGGGTTCGAACACCAGACGGGTCAAACTAAAGACTTTAAAGTTGGTATTTGCTGCTTCTTCGCTAAGCACGCGGCATTAAGGAGTAAGAACAAAGACTGGTCGGCTCGGAGTCAGAATAATGAGTCCGGGTAAGGTGACATGTCTTCATGCGGACTTTTACCTTGTGAACTTAGCACGTTAAAAATCCAGCTCAGCGTGTCGGTCTAGTACAAAGCAGGGTTTATATTCATATAACATTAACATGTTCTCGTTCTGAATATGCATATTAATTTGCCGCTGGACGTTAAGCAGCCATCCATCATCATCATTGATCGGAAATTAAATGTTACAAGTGCGAAGTTTGCAAATATAAAGTCTAGTAAATTTTCCAAGTCTAATTAGATAGGGTTCCATACAGAAGTCAGTCTTGAATTTTGAATAAAATTTCCCCCTTGATGATTTATCGATATCCGAAAACCATTTTTGTAGAGTCTTTGTTTAACGTTAATTTTCAGAAAATTCAAATTAACGTTTCCTATATATGCCAAATTTCGAATTTACCAGTTTCATCAAAAATAGATTTTGTATAATTGATCCACTTAAAAGATTTATTTCCATTTTCAAATAGATTAGAAATAAGCTTGTGAGTTTTCCAGACAGTTTATCAGCATTGTTACAAGCTTGTACCAAAAACAAATCATTTTCATCTTGATACTAATTTCGATAGGAAATCAGCCAAGTTCACCATAGACCATGAAATTCGATGACCTTACCCCCAGAATTTTCTTGCAGAACTGTTAATGTATCTTCTGAATATTGATCTTATTTTCAAATCCCTAAATTTTGGAGGAATAAGTAAAAAAAAGGGGCTACCATCGAATAAAATAGTTTTATCTGTAAATCAAAAGGAATACTGTTATTATTAATTCTCTGGTACAAACTGCATAAAGCTTTTTGAGCTTGATCCACTAATTTGTTTCTGGCTTTACAAAAATTACCGTTTGTGTGACATAGTCCATAAATTTACTGTCCATTGACCTTAAGAAGTTCCCAAACCACGTGTGTTATCAGTGTTGTTGATTATTTAAAATTTCGCGGAGAAGTCCAAGAAAAGAAGATTGAGAATGAGCTTACACCAAACAAAATATATTCTCTGTCTGACATCAATCTAATGAAAATATAGATCACTGATGTTAATATAGATCAGAATTTTAATCAGATTGTGTCAAAACATCTGTAATACACAGAAATATTCAATGATCATCATAAAAGTCAAAATGGTGCTGACTGAGCTTTCAATGTCATGACTTTAACTGTACCTTAGGAATCCGTGCTTCAGTATCTTTCTTGCAAGCAACATTATGTATTAAAATTGGCGTCTAAAAGTTCTAGTGTTTAAACCAATGAGTTTGATAAATAAATCTCCCACTCATACCTGTCAACCTATGAAACCTATAAAGAGGGAGATCTCCCCCTCAGCTATGACAGCTGAGGGGGAGATTTTGCACGAACGACATTTTCAAACTATATATATGACCTGTACACTTATTCATCTATAAAACACCAATAAGAATTAATAAATATACTTTATTTCTTCAATTCATTTTTGTAATCTAAACAAGGTGGTTTTTTTTTCCTTATTCAATACCTCCGAGTCTCATAACTCATAATATTCAATATTTTAGTTTTGTTGCGAGTCTCACACTAAGCATGCTTTTGAACGTCGTACAGACCACCAGATGCAACCGAAAAGTTGATTAAATATAATGTGCACAATAAAAATTCATTGTGCTGAGTGAACTTGGTCGTAAAAGTTTAAATTTTTCATCTAATCTGCTTGACATTTGCAGTTATATTTCGTATTCTTTACACTGCCGCTTGGTCCAGACAAAGACCTCTATCTTGTTGGAGTTGATAGAACAGAAATGATTTTCGATTACTAATAAATCGAACTTAAAAACTACTGACCAAAGTTTTCAAATGATTGCTGATTGTTTGTTTCTTTTTATTGACAGTAAAGAAAAGTCCCGAGAAATACGAACGCGGTTAAAATATCCATAAGCGGGAGATTCTATATATACTCCCGCGCGGGAGCAGACCGGCAAGCGGGAGATTTCCGGAATTTCGTTGTTTGCGCGGGATAATCCCGCTCAAAACAGGAGGGTTGGCATATATGCCCACTGCACCAACAAAGATGATTTTCAAATCAAATGAAGGGTTTCAAAGGGCAAAATATGATATAGCATATTAGCCACCTAACTTCAAGTTTAAGTTATATATACTTTAAAATTTTGCCATTCACCTGTTGTGAGTCCCAACCCCCTACCCCCTTTTCCCTTTCTGCAACCTATGTGTGTTTCATATGTATGTAATGCTGTAAGTATACAATGTGAAATTTTGTATTTTTTTAGTGTATACTGCTAGAAAAAAACCAATGACCGTTCTTTGGTTTGATAAGCAAGTTTTTTTTGTAAGTTGTTTTGAACTCTTGAAAGATGGTTATGATAGTGTTCACTTGGACGATTGGGCTGAGTAAACATATCAATTTAAATATCGTGCACTAAAATCATCGATTTACCACATCAAATATAGTATTTGTACAATTCAACGTGTGGTCTTTCCTTTGCTATATTGTGCTTACAACTATATCCAGGTGCGGATTCATGATAATTTTTAAAAAGGGGGGAATCCTTGGAAACAAGCCAAAGTTTGAAATGATACCATAAGGGTGTCGGGGCCCCTGGTCCCCATAAACTAAATCTAAATCTACTTTGAAATACTCTTACAATGCAAAATAAAAGCACAGTCAACAAAATGTATACGACTTTTTTTTCATTTCAAAAATAAATTTTGTTTAGATGTAGTTCGTTGTTTATTTGTTTTTCATCAGTCAAATTTGGAGGTTATCGGTTGATAATCATTTAACAATTAAAATGTCGTAGAGTGTATTGTTTCGTTGCTGGTACAATTCGTTACCAAGAGATACCATTTTATAACATCAATACAAAGTTTCACTTTTCAAGCACAAAAATCATTATCGAATTTACAATCAATATTGACATGTATGAAAGCAGGATGTTGATAAAAAAAAAAAACCTTCCGCAAAGTTTGTTTAGAATATCCTAAACACGATATCAAAACTATATATAGGAAGAATAACATCCAATTATTTAAAGGATTTTACAATGACAATAAAAAGGGGGAAACAAGAAAAATGTTCACCATTTGTAAATTCAAAGCAATCTTATGTCCTGCCTAGTAGGCTTTCTGCATCACTGCAAAGACGAAGTTGGAGAAAAATCTAAATAAAATATACATTATCTAATTCTTTTACCACTATTTACATTCAACGAAGTAAAACGTTAAAATGAGACAGAAGATAGCAAGGGGACATTCAAAATTCAAATATCGAGATAAACTTACAACATCATGGCAAAACCAAAAGACAACGAAAAGTCAAACAAGCTATTTCAATTGATATTTTATAGTGTGTCTTTTTATGTTGTAATGTTACACTACTGTTCCAGGTTAGGGTGAAGGTTGGCGTCTGTTAAAACGTTTAAACCCGCTGCATTTGTATGCACCTGTCTAAAGTCAGGAGCCTGTCGTTCAGTGGTTGTCGTTTGTTGATGTAGTGCATAAGTGTTTCTTGATTCTCGTTTTTTATATAGATCAGACCATTGGATTTCCTGTTTGAATTGTTTTACACTAGTCATTTTGGGGCCCTTTATAGCTTGCTGTTCGGTGTGAGCCAAGGCTCCGTGTTGAAGGCGGTACTTTGACCTATAATTATTACTTTTTACACATTGTGAAAAAAAACGTAGCTACATATCTAAAAAAAACTGAAAATAAAATTATACAAAATAACTATTGATTGCTAAAATATTCACACCTTGCCGTTCTAGGAGACGATTTCGGTATTGCAGTTTCGACATTGGTTCGCATCTGAAGCATGTCTGAGTCTGAATTAATAAAAAAGACAAAACAAGAAAAAAATTAACTCTATCGGCAGTTTTTTTTAATTTGGACCTATTCTATTTTCATCAAGAACGCTCAAAGCAAAATATTTGCAAGCCATTGATGCATAAGAACCGAAACAGTTAATTGAAGAGCAATAAGACAGAAAAGTACCTAAAACAATGCAAAATCCATCTATGGTCAACTCTGCCTGTGGGATTGGAAACATTAGTTTCTTAATAATTTCTAAATTTATAAACGATAATCTAAAAAAAAAAGATTGCATTGTGTAAAAGCCAAATCTGTCCGAAATAAATACAACTTCATTTTCAGCAGTTATTCATGTAATGCATAATATAAACTAAAAATGAAGGTTTCAGTTGTATCATTGCAGGTTTTATTCCCTTAAGGATGTTCGCTACTCTGTTTCAAAATAACAAGCTTTTTTAAAAGACTGTATAAATTGATAGTATATAAATAAAGGAATTATAAAAGCAGAAAAAAATGAAGGGTCCGTGTGCTTGTTTTCGAGATATAAGCCATTGAAAATTTGGCTGGAAATGATCATCTCTAGATATTTCATACATTTAACATTTCTTTCAAAAACTATGAAAAAATAACAAGGATTTAATAAGATTTTCAAAGATGGCATTTTAAACTATCTGTAATCAATTTATAAAAGAAAAGTAGGGGTTAGCGGGCAAAATTTTTAATGGCGCTACATGGATAAAACTAGAGATTCCGAATATCTGGCAAAAATTCAAATAAAAGAGGAGCGAACATCCTTAAAATGAGACCTGCTCATACACTGGATAGTGGATAAATTGGAAAAAGTTGACCTCGTACTAAGTCACGATATCTTATTACAATAAAGTGCATATCTATGTCTTATAGGTTTATTAAAACAATATATACATTTTTTGTAACACAATCATACACTTTAGGTTTCATTTTACAAAAAAAAAAAATAATTAAAAAGCTAATTAAAATTACAAGTATTATTAATGAATTATGAAAATCAGTCACTTAACTTCTATTTTGTGCTTCAATGTTTTAAAATACATTTCTTAAAATTATACATGGCAGTAAGAAGGCTACAGAATAACAAATGCGGTAAAATTCAAGCACATATTTTTAATATCGACAACCATTTATACTAGCTCATATTCTTTTAAAAAACATCTTTTTCACACAATTATCATTACAATATTCCCTCATTGATCTTGTAGTGCTTTTTACAATTTGTATTACTCAGTAATTTTAAGTTCTGCTTACTATTTATGTACGTGAAACACAATTTAAGGACCTATTAATTATAAAAATGTTAATAAAGAATCACTACTTTAGGGGGATGATAGGCTTTTGAAATGTGGATATAGGGGGTTAAAAAAATGAGGATGTGGGATATAGGGGGTAAAAAAGGTGGGATCGGGCGGGGGATGGGTAAAAAGAAGTAAAGTGGGAATTTTTTTTAAAAACTGGATTTGGGAAAATGAGCACACCAGTGCCACCCCTCCTACTTGTTTTCATTGAGACTTTCTTTTAATTATTTGTATATTTGTATATAATTTATTTGAACAGATATCAGTAGATCAATGTTCAAGATTTGACCTTTTTGAAACAGAATTGACTAATTCAAAGATGCCAGCTCGTTAGAAATTGTAAAAGAAAGTCCTTTCATATACTTAAAAGTGTTTTGTTGGAGGCTGATCGTTTGTAGCAGATACACTACGTATTATCATTTGTTCCTATTCCGCATTTGTTTCCGGAAAGAATAAAACAAAGACACGTGACGAATAACTTTCCAAAAATGTATGATAAGTGTTATGAACATCAAGGCAAGGATTAATATTTTCAAAACAATGTTTATATCACAGTAAGAATGTTTGACTGTACTAACAACAACCACCTGACTTCCGGCCCGATTCTTCTAATCGAACATTTTCTTCGATGTCGTTGCCAGATGACATTGTTGTGGCAACAATTTTGGCAGCTGAAAGTAAAAACAAATGTAAGTATAAGGAAGATTTTTATAATTCCTTCTTAAACAATGGTAAAGTCAAGCTCCGGAAGGATAAATACAAAGGTATTATCATTTAAAAGACATATTTTGTGCAGTGGGTCAATAAAAAAAAAAGTCGGACAAAATGCATGTCGTAATTCGCTTATTTTTACACACAAAAATCATCAAATTATATTTAATTTCTCTGAGGTCATCTTGGATACTAAATGAAAGATATAAGGCAAGAGCAATTCATGTATTTCAATGTTATGTACGACCTATTACAGCTACTAGTAAGTTAAACTTTGTGGCTGTGTACTCTTCAATATACAGATAGTTGGTGAATCCAGGGTCTACGCACCCCCCCCCCCCCCCCCCCCCCCTCCCCTCCCCTCCTTGATCGTCAAAAAATACAACATTTTATGTTTCACGATTTACATGATTTTTAGCATAAAATTGTCCAAAAATATGTTTGCCTTGCTCCACTTAGCAGTATCTATTACATTTTCTGCAATTACGCCCCTATCAAAAATCCCGGATCCGCCCCTGTTCAATGATACAGGTGTAAGTTTTCCAGTATCCTGGGTCAAAATTTTGAAAAAATATATAAGTTTTAGTGAACCCCGTGTATAAAGGAACCAACATCGAGATAGTGAGGTTGTATGAAAGATATTAATTGTAATTTTACCTAAATTAATAAACATATCCTCTACATTTAACCCAGTTTTAGCAGACGTCTCTGTAAACAATAAACCATGTTCATCCGCGTGATCCTTTCCTTCCTAAAACAAAATAGTTCTAATAATAGTAAATAGAAATATATCAACATAATTAAATCATAACAAATACACAAGTTTGTGTAATCCATAGTGGTGCATGTGGCAAAGTACACATTGATACGGTAAATTCAGAAATTATTGCGTGCATTAATTATTGCGATTTTTAAGGAATGGACAAAAATGCGAGATAAATTATTGCGATTTTTAAGGAACGGACATAAATGCGAGATAAATTATTGCGATTTAAGGAAAAGTTGCATACAAATATTTCTCTAATTCTTACTCGATTTATCCTTTTTCTGACCTGTTGATTATTTTTATTTAATCAACGTATTGTTCGTTTGATCTCAGTTCTTCATTGGTCAACATTCGATTATGACGTCAAATTTTCTTGCTTTCCTCTGAAATTCCTACTGTGACGTGCGGGATGTATAAATACGCAGCCACGTCATGTCGGAATGGGAATGTAAAATGCTGCACGTTAAAGAACCGTTATTCTCTGAAGGGTCATAAATGGCATGTTGTTAGTCAAAATTTCTGCCCTATCCAACATACCCTGATTTTCCTTGTAGAACCTACTTGTTGTATTTTTTTAATTTGTCCTCGTCCTTAACGTGCATGAAATATGTGCCACTGGACTTAAAGCAAAACTTATGACACACATTTCTTGCATTAAATAGCGATGACGAAAATCAGTGGGCGCAGAGTAGTGGAAAAGGATTTTAAGGAGTGATTTCAACCCTCCCTTCTTTCTATTTTATTCAATCATATCTTTTTATTTTCTAAACTGATTATCTAACCACCATTATAAAGACCTCTTGGCTTCGTCACACACAATATTGTTCGTGTTTACTGTCTAAGGACAGATAAATTAATGTACTATTTTTTATGAATTTCTTATTGATAACAAAGCATTACAGAATTCCGAATGTTCATTTCGTGCGCTCCTCGTGATTTGAAGGTCATTTCTTTTTTAACATTGTGTCAAAATATTATATTCAACCTGCGCTTCTCATGATAGTAATGTTAATGATACGGTATGTTAAAAAATGATAATGAAATGTTAATGCAATGATAATGAAAAGTTAATGAAATGTTAATGAAATGTTAATGCAATATTAATGAAATGTTAATGAAATGTTAATGAAATGTTAATGAAATGTTAATGAAATGTTAATGAGATGTTAATGAAATGTTCATTATAATGCTCCTAACACGATCGAGCTAAATTATAAAAAACGTGGACTCATAGGTGTAAATAAATCTAGTTCGAATATGCAGATACATTTACAGGATTTCGCAATATGCGTGAGAGTGCTTATTGGAAATTCTGACAAAACTAATGTTCAGCAGGGGAAAAAAAGATACCAAAAGTATGTCTAATAAAAACTAACAACACTAGTCTTGACGAAAAAGAAAAACGATGATAAAACAAACAACAATAACACAACATTACACAGAAAATTTTAGGTTGTGATACACGAATCCCAATAAAATGCGGGGATGAAGTCAGCTTCTCCGGGCGGATAGGCAGTTCATGCTCCACATACTAGTAGTGGCACACATCACGTTTCTAATTGCAAAAAAAACGATGATTGGTAACAATGGAAGGAAAAAGGGTGGGATTGTGGTTACGCCCAGTAGAACATATCCGTGGTCATCTATGACACAAATATGCCGTAATGGTCAACCAAATCAGAAGTAGGAATACGGTATTGAGTCTTAAACATTTCCATGAAACCAAAATGAGGTTACAGCAGATCACGTAAATGAACTACTCTGTAAAAGTGAGTGACCTGTGTCTCGTATTCTACGATATTTGCAGGACAGATACTAATATTCATTATATCGAAACTATTTTGTAAATGTATTGTAAATACAAAATTACTTTAAAGAAAAAAGCAGAATTTTCTTTCTATCTTAACTCGCGGCAAACACTTGTAAAAGTGAGTAATATCTGTATCACGTTGTACAAAATTTTTGTTGAATGAGAGGCAAAAAAAAATAAAAATGTTTCATACATTCTAAGATACCAACCTCCCTACTAACGGCACGCTTTTCCGACGCCATGTCCGCTTTATTTCCTGCTAAACAAATAACCATTTGTGAATTCGCTTGCTGAAGGAGTTCCTTAATCCATGCTTGTGCTCTGGTAAACGATGACTGAAAAAAATGAAAACAACACGTTATAAATTTCATGCGTCACAAGCGCTTTTCTGGATTTACCTTCATTTGGAACGCTCAAAGCCGAATATTTGATAGCCAAGAATGTATAAGAACCGAAACAGTTGAAGAGCTATATACATAAAAACAATGTGGTGTGGAGTGATTGCCTGTGAGACAACTATCCACCAGAGTTAAAATGAAGTGGATGTAAGCAATTATAGGCAACTGAACGGCCTTCAATAATGAGAAAACCCCATACCGTATAGTCGGCTTTAAAAGACCCCGACAAGAAAAATGTGAAAAAATTCAAATGAGAGAACCAACGGCCTAATTTATTACAATATAATTTACGAAAAGCAAATATGACAGACATGAACCAACGACAAAGTACTGAACTACAACTCCTGACTTTGGATAGGCACATAAAGAATGTGGCGGGGTTAAACATGCATGACCAAAATGAACTTTAAAAATAATAGCCAAATCCATCTGAGGTAAACTTTGCCTGAGGGTTTTGAAACCTTAGTTTCTTAATCATTTCTATAATTTTTTTATCTATAAATTTAATAAAATAAAAAGATGTGTTTCCTCCCCGTATGTATCACCAGCCCAGTAGTCAGCACTTCGGTGTTGACATTAGATATCAATTATATGGTCATTTTTATAAATTAACTGTTTGCAAAAGTATGAATTATTCGAAATACTAAGGATTTTCTTATCCCAGGCATAGATTACCTTAGCCGTATTTGGAACAACTTTTTTTTAATTTTGGGTCCTTAATGCTCTTCAACTTTATACTTGTTTGGCTTTCTAACTATTTTGATCAGAGCGTCACTGATGAGTCTTATGTAGACGAAACGCGCGTCTGGCGTATCAAATTATAAGACTGGTACCTTTGATAACTATTTGCTTGCTTTAGCGTTTTCAATGACACATTATCATAATAAATCAAGGAACAAGTCTCCTGAAATATGTCAAAAATTGATAATAAAGATAATCCCTAAATGATCTTTTGGTAATGATATATAGTATAGGATATTATAACAACTGTAAGAAAAGGGAGATCATGTCACTGAAACCTAGAAGACAACACAGGAAGGAGACTTATCAAAAGCAGTTATACAGTCGTACGAACCAATAAATGACAACCTATGGACAAACAAAACAACAAGACAAAAAATCAAAAGCGAATAGACAAGCGTATGGACAAACAAACAAAAATGACACGGGCGTAAGACCAACAAAACATCAGGACAAACAAAAAAAAGTTGTGCGGACCAATAAAACAAAAGGACAAATCTAATTTAAAGCAACGTGACCAACAGGACAACTCAAAAACAGAGATACAGACGTACAGATCAACAAGACAACATGGCAAATCAAATGTAATGTGAATTTCGTATGGACAAATCAGGTGCAAAGAGACAGTCGTAAGGGAGCAACCATTTAACTTCAAGGGGGGGGGGGTATGGCTTTTTGTCTGAGTCAAAAAATTTAACACTATAAGGTACTGATGGGGAACATCTGGATTCAGAATATTTTGTTTTGTCATCTGCTTGACCACAATATTTTTTTCATCAAATTGGGGGTCAGAATATTTTTTTAGGAAAAAAACATGCCCCCCCCCCCCCCCCTTGAAGTTAAGTGGTCGTTCAAAAACAAAGAGACAGACGTACTGGTCTACAAAACAACAGACGTCTCATTACTAATTGAAGTAAAACCGCGTTTATTTTATTGCAATATGCATTGCAGACATAAGAATACAATTTTAGCCAATAGAAAGAAAGAAAAAACGAGGAGCAATATATCATGTCAGCATTTCCTGCTTTCGATATTAACTTGTAAAATCCAGTAGTCAATTTCGATAATGGTGAAAAATACGTGAAGCACTGAGAGATAGGTCCGAGATCAATTGTGTCAAATTGACTTCGTTATGATAGATAATTATTTATGATGACTGTAACGGTTTGAAGTACAATGCAATGTATTGCTATCGGAAGGGTGAACATAACTTGGATATAGCATTTTATAAGATATGAGAGAACGTGGATTTAAAATCACTAATGTGTTATCTCTAAATTTTGATATACTAGGTGAATATTGAATAAAAAACTGCTCATCTTAGGCTTGTGGAGAGCACCTGCATTCATTCTGGATTTGTTTAGGGTTGCGTGTTAAATCTTTAGTTTTCGGAGTGGTACAGTATGTATTGTTATTCTGTTCGTCTTTTATTTTATGTTTTGCCAGTTTTTAATTCGGGTATATTGGTTTTTTTTCATTGGCCAAAGGATTTCTTCATTCTGTTTGCCCAATTTGCTGGAAGTTTTGTTTTAGTCGGAAAATGTTTTCAGGATAAATCGTTCAGATGAAGATCGTTCCGTCATAAACCTGTATGTCGGGTATAGTGTACAAGGGTTATCTTATTACTCACCGTACTCGTGACGTCGTACACAATAATTGCTGCTGGTGCTCCTCTGTAGTACATAGGAGCTAAGCTGTGATAACGTTCCTGTCCAGCAGTATCCCAGATGTCAAATTTCACACTTTGACCTCTCACGTTGACGGTCTTTGTTAAAAATGCAGCTGTAAAATCAATGGATATCATTGTTACCGTATTTCAATATAGTGTCATGAACATAAACAGGTGGCGGGGTTCAATTTTGTCATAGCTTCCCTCTTTTTATCGAAATCGTGGGAGGGGGTTGAGTCGGTGCAAATGGAATTGTCATTTCAAACATTTCAAAATAGCCAATGAAAATTAATTTATGAAAAACACTTGGCGCAATAATATCAATATCACAAACGAAAAAACACAGCTGCGTAAAAAGACGATACATATTATGTACTAAAGAAGTCTTTCATTCAATTGAAATAAGCTGAACTGAGTACTTCATCTCATGTTTTACACTCTCATATCAGTCGCTGTACTTCTTAACAAATTTTAAGCAGAAAAAACAACTGTACAAAAATTACATTCATTTGTTAGAATTATACCAAAGGATATACATAATACATATACTGACCACCAATGGTAGCTTCGCCGTTCTCGTTGAATTCTCCCCTCACATAGCGAAGGGCTATACTTGATTTACCAACTCCAGATTCTCCAAGTAGAACCAGTTTAATCTGTTTTGATTTTGATCCTCCTGCTGCTGAAGGTTGTTTTGGTTGTGAACGTTGGGTCATGTTTTCTTAACATGGGGATCTAAGATCTAAATTAATAATAAGATTGTATAATAAAAAAAGTTGGTTCAGCTGGACATTGCATAATGTGCGGGGTCTATGTATGTGCACAGTCATGTCAGGTTAGAATTGGGATTTAAAATGCAATAACCCTTTTAGGGAGACTAACATACTTTCTGCAGATGAAATTTATCGAACAGTTACTCTTTTATAATTAAGTGCATAGATGTCTTAATTGTTGAAACGCAACCCTAATGAGTCATACTCTCATTTCCAATTGTCATTAAGACTTCATCCTTCATCCCGATCAACCAAGTTTGCAAAATCGATCGATTCGATTATTGTTGCATGCGTTTTTGTCCTGAATATGCATTAGCTATTTGCCAATGGACATTAAACAATCTGCAATCAAGTATTTAATCAGTCGTGGTCATCATTAGTATGTGAACATTTATTAAGACAAATTTTACCAAACTGCGGGATCACCTGAGTTCAGAACCGTTTTTTTTATAACATGGGGTTCGTCTGCTCTATTTGGACCGTTGTATATATATCCGTCTTTTTATTTTGGCCACTGTGTATAACTTATGGTTATTATTTGCCCGTTGGTATTCTACGTTTTGTATCTAGTTGGTCATTGTTCTTTTTGAATCAGGTTTGGATGTAATCTTCAAATAAGTCTGTTTAGAACGAGGAATATCTGTGTAACTGTGGAAGAGGGTGTGGATGGGGTTTAAAGAATAGAGAATAATGGGCGAAACGTGCAGAAAAAAAGGTAAAAAAATATAAAGAATACCGAAAAAAAAGATAACAAAACAAAGAATAGAGAATAATGGGGTGCTAGAATATAAAGAAAAGATAACAATGGGAAAAAAATATAAAACATAGAGAAAAATGACTTAAAAAATTAAAGAATACAGAAATGAAAGACCCCTCTTCCATACCCTCGTAGAAGTCAAATGTTTTAACTATTGCAAGAGGGGACGAATTCGAACTGATTGTATGTACCCTAATATGTATGTACCTTAATAGATCTCCCAATAAAAAAGGTGTATTTTTTAGAATACATTTAAATAACTCTGAAGATTTGTATTGATTGTTGATAGATTTTTTATTTTGTTTTGAAAGGGACTATTTGAAAGACCCAGTTATATAAACTTGTTTGCAAGGACACTAATGTAAAAAAAAGAGGGGTGTTTCCTGAAATACCGTAGAAGTCAAATGTTTTTACTGTCGCATTGAGGAGATGAAAACGAACTGATTGGGTGTGATGTTTTAAAAAAAGTACTTCATATTCAGAGAGTAAATAGTTTCACAATAACTCTGAAAATAATTTTAATTGTAACAGTTGATATATTTAGAATAAATTTTAGTATTTTTTAAAGGGCTTTCGTGACTTGTTTATAAGGATCCTTATGTAATTAGTGTTTCCTGAAGAGGGAAGGAAGATCAGGTTCGCCATCCTGAATAACCAATATCGATGAGATACAATGTTACTATTATGTTACGAGCTGTATAACCTCTAGTAGGGGAACGTGTCAAAGTGTTATTGTCCTACTGACGCCTGTTATTTAAAATATACCAACATTCATACATACACATACCGTTTTACTTTTGAATGCTATTATAAATTTGTACATTTACAACTTATCTTGAATGGCCAATTGCATTTTCTTACATCGAGTATATATTACATTAAGCCCTTGAACATTGAGAGGCTAATTGCTATTTAACTTGAAATGTTAATGGTTTATTGTCACACTTCGCGTTATAGCTCCGTTAGAATGGTATTTATAGCCTGCAGTTGTATAGCATGGGTGTGGAGGAATTCACTATTCTAAATTTAGCAATTTTGTGCATTTTATGCTCTGCATAGACAAAATATACAAATCGAACGTCCTCCTCCTTTTCGGTATTTAAACGTTTTACTACGATAATTTAAGTTTAAAATACACAACTTACCTGTAAGATGTAACTATTTGCACGTATAGCTTCTGGTTATAAAAATGTCATTTTGTACATGGACATAAGTGTAACATTACAAAGTACAATACATATCGTCCGTTGATCAGTACAACTTGTTGATTTATATACGCCCACTTTCTTAGTACGTATACCAGATGAAAAACAATACCAACAAAACTATTCTTTTCTAACGTTTTGTTATGAATGTAGTACACGAATACACAATATAAGCCTCAAAAAAATAATACAGTCCTAATCAACTATTAGAAAGTTTAGAAAGTTTAACATTTGTACGAGGAAAGTCACATAAACCACTTCCGTGATTGTGTATTTACTGATAATTCTATGTAATCAGAGGGGCTGTCTCAAAACACATAATAATAAGTTACTTCCTTTAGTACTTTGGAAATACGGATAACTTTCCGCTTTTTATTTCATGTCAACTGGTACACAGAGAAGTGGTCAATTTGAAATCAAACATATAAATTTTCTTGATCCCCCCCATAATATTTCACTGTTTTTATTCAATCCCCCCTTAAAAACATTTTTAAAAAATGTGATCCCCCCTCACTTAAACATGCCAAAATTTCAACATGCAAAGCACTTACCTTTGACACACATATGTAGGATACTCGAAGATTCAAAACTTCACAAATGTTTCATTAGAGATAAAATTGATCCCCCCACTTTGAATTTATAAAAAAAAATCTGAATCCCCCCCCCCCCCCCTTTTCAACTTACAGAAAAAAACTTGATCGCCCCTTCATTTTGACCAGCTCCCCTTATTGTCACGTTTACCAATTATAGACAAGAAAGGAAATACATCCATGACATAAAATCAGTACACGCAAAGCAAAAAAAAACAGGAACAGCGCTTTTATTGCTGATCTTCATCTCAACGTCACAGCGAGGCCTTCAACAAGGAACAAAAACTCTCACCTCACTGCAAGTTTAAGACGGTCCCTAGCACCGGTTTGAGCGGATTATAATGTCTTTCTGTGTTGCTCATACTATTTCTGTCAAGATAACAGATCTATAGTCATCTGTCATTCAATTTGGAGGTTTAACTAGCTATATAACCAGGATTAAACCACAATTTTCCTCGGAAAATGCATGTACAATTTCCAGTAGTTCCTTTGGTACATAGAATCGAGCGTTTTCAAAATTTGTCAGCTTTTGAATCCTTTTACTTATTTTACCCTGGAGTTCGGTATTTATGTTATAACATTTTTTGTCTAACTTTGCCTTGTTTCCCCTCCCCCTTTTCATAGTTCTGGTTCCGCATCTGTGTCAAGTGTCATCCTCTAATGAGTTAGAACTATGACAGAGTTTTAATTTGTTCACTAGAAATATTTTTAAAAGTCTTGATGATTAATTCTTGGTTTAGTGATTATTAGGGCCCCGCCGAATGGCGGACGCCCTATAGTGATCAGGCTGTCCGTCCGTCCGTCCGTCTGTCCGTCTGTCCGTCCGTCTATTCGTCTGTCCGTCCGTCTGTCCGTCTGTCCGTTCGTCCGTCCGTCCGTCCGTCCGTCCGTCCGTCCGTCCGTCCGTCCGTCCGTCACAAATTATGTCCGCTCTATATCTAGAGAACCGTTATGATTTCATAGTTTATACTTGACATGTATATTAACACGCACCAGAGGGTGTGTCATAATTTATGTAAAACTTCCTAGGTCAAAGGTCAAGGTCAAAAACTTTGGTTTCAGTTGACAACCCCATGTCCAATGATAAAGATACAAATTTTTTACAACACATTATTCACAGCGGGACCCACAGAGATGGCTCCCATCTCAATGATATCTAGTTTTTCCTGATAAACTTTGGTGAACATGAATAATATATTCCACCTAAACTTTGATTAAAGCTGTTATATAAGAACAACTATTTTTGTTACCATTTTCATCTTTTTATACATTACCCATGATATATACTTATATAGTAGATGGCATTATGTTTATAAATCATTTAAATGTGGAGTCCACCATATAATTCAATTCATTACGGATCATTTTCGGTTAAAGTGACAAAATCGAAAAATACATTTGTGATACAGATTTTTCCCGGAAGCGCAAACGTGTTTTCCTTGTTAGCAGCTCAGTTAAAAAAAACTTATACATTTAAGGCGAAAAAAAAAAACCCATTTTTGTCACTGAAAGTAAATATTTTCATTTCAGTTAAGGATCTGAACCTTTTTTTCAAACAAACAAACATACAAACAAAGCGAAACAAAAACAGTCTTCAGACCATCCAGCGTCCTTCTGGTCTCGGTCTCTTGGTCGAGTTAAGCCATTTCATTTGATATTTTATTGTGTGTCTTTTTATGTTGTAATGTTATACCACTGTTTTAGGTTAGGATGAAGGTTGGCGCCTGTTTAAACGCTTAAACCCGCTGCATTTTTATGCACCTGTCCTAAGTCAGGAGCCTGTTGTTCAGTGGTTGTCGTTTGTTGGTGTGGTTCATAAGTGTTTCTCGTTTTTTTTTTTTTATATAGATTAGACCGTTGGTTTTCCTGTTTAAATTGTTTAACACTAGTCTTTTTTTGGGGGGCCCTTTATAGCTTGCTGTTCGGTGTGAGACAAGGCTCCGTGTTGAAGGCCTTACTTAGACCTATAATTGTTTACTTTTTACACATTGTGACTTGGATGGATAGTTGTCTCATTGGCACTCATACCACATCTTCTTATTTATATATACAAACAAAACGAATGAAAACAAAAACAATATCCAGTCTTCAACCCATCCAGCGTCTTTCTGGTCTTCTGGTAAATATAAATATTTTTAGAAAGTCATCCCTTTTCTATATCTACTTTTTATATGATCTCTAATTCTTCGTTTAGTGATGATTTTTCTGCGATAAAACTTTGGTGTACCTTTATAGCTTACTGTTCGGTGTGAGCCAAGGCTCCGTGTTGAAGACCGTACTTTGACCTATAATGGTTTACTTTTATAAATTTTGACTTGGATGGAGAGTTGTCTCATTGGCACTCATACCACATCTTCTTATATCTATATAAATAATATTCTGCACCTAAATTTTGATTAAAGCTGTTATTAAAACAACTAACTTTCTTAATATTTTCATCTTTTTTATACTCCACCCATGATACATAGTAGTTGACATTGTGTTTTCCTGTCTGTGCTTCCGTCCGTCCGTCCGTTCATCCATCCAATACCAGCTTAAAAGTATTGGAGTATGGCTGGTTAAAATTTTGGTATACGATAGAATACTATGAAGGAGGGTCTGAATGGGGTTTACATAAAAGAGAATGATTAGTAAAAAGTGAAGAATAAAGAGCAAACAATATAAAGAATAGAAAAAATAGGCAAAAATAATAAAGAATAGAGGCTAATGAGGTGTTAAAATATATAAAATAGATAACAATTGGGAAAATTGAATAATTAGTTGAGAAATATTGCCTAAAAATAAAAGAATAAAAAAATTAAGGAACCAACCCCCTTTCTCCTCCCAATTCAGATCCTCGTGAAGTTGAGGTCACAAAAACAAAACTAGAGGCTCTAAAGAGACTGTGTCGCTCACGTAGGTCATTGAGTATATTCAACAATGGACTCTCTCCAATATTGTAGACAAGAAAATAGTTTATGATAAAAATTTCTTTTTTGTTGATTTTGTATTGCTGATCATTTGTCTGTTTTGTTTCTCTCTATCTTCTTTAGTTTTGGCTCAAAACACAAAAGAGGGTAAAAAAATCCTCATTTAAAGGCAATCACTCTTGTGAAGAGTGACAGTCTACTAACTACATCGGCAAAATTTGACTTGTTTGTGGATCTTGCCATGATGATAATTTTTTTTTTATTTAAAGTTTCTATTTATCTATTATCAATGATTATAATTTTTATCATATAAGGCAAAAATGAAAAAAAAATGTAAAAATCATCATAAAAAGGCAATAAGTAGTTGCGAAAAATTTCCTCCATATGGTCTTGAATGTAGATCTTGTCTTGCTGATCATTTTTGCTTATTTAAGTTTCTATCGATCTATTATAATTTTTCAGATATAAGTCAAAAACCTAAAAAATTGGTAAAATTGTCATCAAAGGAAAATGACTTTAATCAGGAGTCGACTAACGATTTCAACCATCATACTTATTCGTAGATCTTGTCTTGCTGATCATTTTTGCAACTTAAAGTTTGTCTCCATCTATTATAGTTTTCAAGCTAAAAAGCAAAAATGAAAAAAATGGTAAAATTTGTCATTTAAGGGCAATAACTCCTATAAGAAGTTGCCTAACAGTTTTGACGTCAATGTACAATTGGTAGAGCTCAAGATTCTGAACATATTACCCCTATGTTCTTTTTTTAGCCATGTCGGCCATCTTGGTTGGTGGCCGGCGTCATTGGACACATTTTTAAAACTACACACACCAATAATGATTGTGGCCTAATTTGTTTAAATTTGGTCAAGTAGTTTCAGAGGAGAAGATTTTTGTAAAAGTTAACGACGACGACAACGGACGACGGACGCCAAGTGATTAGATTGTATCTCTCCTTTTTTGGCAAAATCTTTCTTTATATTATATAACTTGCTTTTCGATAAAATGATCCAACAGGAGTCTCCCTAATTTAATTCTAGTTGTCAAATTTGATCTAAAAATGTATTCTTTACTGAACTAACTTCAAGGAACCATTATTCTCTGGAAAATTAAACACATTCTCCTCCGTAACTCAATAGTGAGGCTTTCGTTAATTTCTCCGGTTATATATTTTGGTTGTTCCAAAACATTTTATTGCTGTAAACAATGGCGATCGTGGAGGGTGTGTATTGGCAGACGAGAAGAAACGGACGCATGTGTTTTTGTATGCGAACGGGTGGGTTTCCTGGCTTTTACAGCTATGAAATGTAATCTGCTTTTTCATTGTCATCTTTGATCTAGATTGGGTAAGCAAGATTTGCAAAACGAAATTTAAGAAAATATATTGCAGTATATCAGATAATCCTCCAACATTTCTTAACTAAGGCTTGCACAACTTAAAATTAGCAAAAACTGGAACATGCAAGTGTGAAGTGAGATTCGTATTCTGAAGTCTTCTCGCAATAATTTGGTTAGGTTATCGTGTTAAATAATAAAAAAAATAATGCCATGGAGAAATCACTGATGTAAGTCCCAGAATGATGCTATTTGCCTTATTTATCCAGTTCATGATTTTACAGGGCACTTTGTTTGTGGTGACTGCGTACACGTATTAAATTTCAATGGTCCAAAGTTTATTTTCGGAGGAAATTGTTATGTAACGTTTCCTTTATCCCAAGTCCTGTTTAGAAATGTTTACATATTCTTTTAGATTTTGCACTTGTTTGATTTTTGATAGTTTTGTCAATTATCTTATCACCG